CATTTAGAGTCAAACAGACCATAAAGCAGGGGATGCTTTAGGGCGGGTCTACACGGTGATTGACAGGTCTCTACCAGAGTGTTGTCCAGTCTGGGAGGCAGTTGTCGGTGTTTTCGTCTCACGAGTCTCAGTGTGTTTTTACTTCATGACAGTTAATTGTAACTTTTTGGTCGTCTAAAAATATCTCCTTCAGCCTTCGGTTGTACTTAGCTCCACCCTCTAGTGTCACTTCTGTTTGCAAATAACTAAGATGGCGACGGCCAAAATGCCAAACTCGAGACTTCACAACGACAATCCACAAGCCAGTGTGTGACGCCAGGACGACTACGTCGGCTTCTCGTATACAGTCCGTGAATTAAATATCCTCCAGTAGCAGAAGAACATGTAACATGATTAGAAGTGGAGAGATGGATGTGAAAGAGAAATAATGAAATAACTCAAAGCAGTGATGAGACGTGTGACATCTTTATTGTAGTTTCTTACTTCAGTAACGTCATTCTGACTCGGCGGTCGTCTCTCTGCCCCTTCAGGGTTCGTTGTGACTCAGCTGGTGACGTCGTGCGGCAGCGACGGTCACTCCATGGCCCTGACGGAGAGCGGCGAGGTGTTCAGCTGGGGGGACGGAGACTACGGCAAGCTGGGCCACGGGAACAGCGACCGCCAGCGCCGCCCGAGGCAGATCGAAGCGCTGCAGGGAGAGGAGGTGGTGCAGGTCAGTCTGAGTTCTAATGAACCCGATAAGGATGTTTGGTGCTCGGGTGCTTTCACAATCTGCTTCACTTTGAGCTTTTGTTTTAGATGTCCTGTGGGTTCAAACACTCGGCGGTGGTAACAGCCGACGGGAAGCTTTTCACATTTGGAAACGGTGATTACGGACGACTGGGTTTGGGAAACACCTCGAACAAGAAGCTTCCGGAGAAGGTCACCGCTCTGGAGGGATACCAAGTGGGACAGGTAGGACAGAGGAGTGGTAGAACTGACTAGAGGTGCAACGGGTCTCGAAACGGTTCGGATCAGAGTCACGGGTCAGAGTCACGGGTCAGAGTCACGGGTCAGAGTCACGGGTCAGAGTCACGGGTCAGAGTCACGGGTCAGAGTCACGGGTCAGAGGCACGGGTCGGATCAGCACAACAGAAAAAAGGAGCAAATTTAAAGTAACTTTTAGAGATCTCTGGTCATGTTTTTTTGCCGCCTATACTAATTATTGATCATTGATGATCCATATT